TCTGTGTTCACTTCGTGAAAAAACAGGGGTCCCAGATTTGAGTATCCCATCCTCGTCCGGTTGGCCTCTTTTCGGCCGGTGAAGGACCCTTCGAAATAAGAATAAGGGACAGGACCCCTCTTCAGCCCAAGAAATTCCGTCTCAAGAAAAGACAGCCCGGCAGACAGGTCCCATACGGTCCCATAAGGTCCATTCCCCGTCGAGAAGTCGTCAGGCATCACGGGCCCTCCTGCCACCGACTTAATCAACACCGATACCCAGAATCGTCGATCCTCTCCACCGCCTCGCCGTGTCTTTTTTTTCTTCCCTCTCTTTTCTGTGTTCACATAACAACACGGCGCCGACTTCCTCCCTTCCATCACCCGTCAGGACGGATATCTCCTTCGATAGCCTGACTGTTTTCCCCCAATCCTCGATCGTCAACCGCAGCGCGCAGAAAAAAAGGAGGCTAACGCACCTCCTAGCGCATTTCCGTGGTTCTGTGGCGTCACCTCCTTTCAGCACGACGAAGGACTGAGACATTGGGAGACGCGCCCAATTTCCTTCCCTCACGTCACCGTTTCTTCTTTCCTGACTTGGGGAGTCCGGCCCAGGTCCAGCCCAGGCCAGCATCACATCCCATTATTGTGCACCGCTGCACCATTGCACCACCACCCAGCACTTGCACCGCACCACCAACCCACGCGCTCCACGCCACAAAGCTCTGGGCAAGTTGGCGAGCTCGTCGCTTGTGCAACTGATCGACATCGACCTATCTGCTCTAATCGGGCATCGTGCCATCTCTCATCTGGGGACTAGGGACCAACTCCCGGTTTTTCAACACCCACAGAAACGCACATATCATCCCGTTCTCTCCCCCCCCCCCTCCAGCTACAGCCCCTGTCCCTTCTCGCTCTTCCAAGTCCCTTCCGCTGTCTCTCCACGACGCGCCTACTTCCCTGTTTAATACCCGACTTGGCCCCAGGGACCCCCACCATCAACTCTCCCGTCTTTTGACGTCTCTTTTTCCTCTTCAACCACAACTCCTAGACCACCACTACACCTTCCCGTCGACCTCGAGGCGACTCAATTCGCCAACACCGTCGCCATGTCGTCCGCCGCGAATGCTACGACGGAAAACCAGGGCGAGGCCCGGGGTGACACCTCCGGAAGCTCTCTGTCGGGCATGGTTTCGACCCTGGCTGTCTGCGCTCCTATCGCCGGTGTCTACTTGGTAATCTTTTTGATTCTGCGCCGCAGTCAGCGTAGATTCTATGCCCCAAGAACTTATCTGGGCAGTTTGCGTGAAAGGTAATGCCCATTGCGTGGAACTCGTAACTTGACGGCAGTGGACTAACATCGTCACAGCGAACGAACGCCAAGCCTGCCCAGTGGTATCCTCAACTGGTTCGCGAGCTTCTGGAAAATCCCCGATGTCTACGCCCTCAAGCACCAGTCTCTTGATTCCTACCTTTTCCTCCGGTTTTTGCGCCTGTGCGCCTCCATCTGTCTCGTTGGTCTCATCATGACATGGCCCATCCTCTTTCCCATCAACGCTACTGGTGGTAACAATGCAAACCAACTTGATGTCCTTACGTACAGCAACATCGACATCAGCCAATCTTCAGGTCTCAATCGTCTATATGCGCACGCCTTGGTTGGCTGGCTCTTCTATGGCTTCGTCATGTATCTCATTATGCGCGAGTGCATCTTCTACATCAACCTGCGCCAGGCCTTCCTGCTCTCGCCTACCTACTCCAAGCGCATTTCCTCGCGAACTGTCCTCTTCACCTCTGTGCCCGAAGAATACCTCGACGAACACCGACTCAAGAAGCTTTTCAGCGACTCGGTTAAGAGAATTTGGATCACTGGAGACACCGAAAAGCTGGACGAGTTGGTGGAGGAGCGTGACAAGGTTGCCATGAAGCTGGAGAAGGCCCAGGTCAAGCTCATCAAGTTGGTCAACGCGGCCCGCCTCAAGGCTACCAAGAAGGGTGCATCTCCCGAGAAGACTCCTGCTCAAGACGCCGAGACGGCCGATGCTGCTACCAAGTGGATTCCCCAGAAGAAGCGCCCTACACACAGACTCGGCCCCCTGGGACTGGTTGGAAAGAAGGTTGACACGATTGACTGGTGCCGATCCGAGTTGCAGCGTCTCATTCCCGCAGTCGAAGCCGCCCAAGCCGATTACCGTGCCGGAAAGGTCAAGAAGATTCCTGCCGTCTTTGTCGAGTTTTTCACCCAGTCCGACGCCCAGGCTGCGTACCAGGTCACTACCCACCACCAGGCTCTTCAGATGACCCCTAAGTTCATCGGCATTCAACCCACCGAGGTTATCTGGAAGTCCCTCAGAGTCCCCTGGTGGCAGAGAGTCATCCGCCGCTACGCTGTTGTTGCCTTCGTCTCCGCGCTGATTATCTTCTGGGCCATTCCAGTCACTGCGGTTGGTTTCATCGCTCGTGTCGATCAGCTCGAGACATACGCCTTCCTCGCCTGGCTGAAGAAGATCCCCGACGTGATCATGGGTGTTGTCTCTGGTCTTCTGCCTAGTGTGGCACTGTCCATTCTGATGTCCTTGGTACCCGTCATCATGCGCCTCTGCGCCCGTCTGGCTGGAGAACCTTCCAACTCCCGAGTCGAGCTGTTCACCCAGAACGCATACTACTGGTTCCAGCTTATTCAGGTCTTCCTGATTACAACTATCTCCCAGTCGGCTTTGGCTGCTGTCATTCAAATCAGCCAGAACCCGACCTCCATCTTCTCAACCCTGTCCGAGGCTTTGCCCAAGTCGTCCAGCTTCTACATTAGCTACTTCATCGTCCAGGGTATCACGTTGGCAGTCGGTACGATGACTCAAGTAGTCGCGTTCGCCATCTTCGTGGTGCTTCTGAAGTTCCTCACCAACACTCCCAGAGCTCTCTACGTGAAGTGGTCCACACTGGCGGCGATCTCCTGGGGAAGTGTACTGCCAGTTTACACCATGATTGCTGTTATCAGTAAGTTTTTGATCATTCCTCCTATGGTAATGCTATGTACTAATCTCATCCATAGGCATCACGTACGCTATCATTGCGCCGCTCATGCTCTTCTTCTCCACCATCGGTATGGGACTGTTCTACTTGGCTTACAGGTACAACATTCTGTTTGTTACCGACACCAAGATCGATACGAGAGGTCTCCTCTACCCTCGTGCTCTCAAGCAGCTCTTCGCAGGCGTCTACCTGGCTGAGGTTTGCTTGGTTGGTCTTTTTGCCGTTTCGAAAGCCATTGGACCTCTCATCCTCATGATCGTTTTCCTCATCTTCTCCGTCCTCTTCCACATTACTCTCAACAGCGTCCTGGACCCGTTGCTGTACACTCTGCCGCGTTCTCTCCAGGTTGAGGAGGAATCTTTGAACTCCAACGTTGAGGATATTGACCGCAAGGATTCTGGCAGAGGCGTTTCCGAGGAGGATGGCCAGAACGGCACCTCAAGCAACCCGTTCAAGAAGATTGCCAACGTTAAGAACTTCAGCCCGGGAGGAGAGGAGAATCAGGTGGAGATGGAGGGTGGCAACATCGTTACCCGCTTCCTCAAGCCTTGGGTCTTTGCCAACTACACGCACCTTCGCCAGCTTGTGCCTCGCGATGAGGCCAGTGTCGACGAGTTGTACCCTGGTAACATCCAGGACAACGCCTACTACCCGCCTTCCGTCTCCAGCCTTCCCCCACTCCTTTGGATCCCTGAGGATGGCGCTGGAGTGTCCAAGCACGAGATTGCGCAGACGAGCAAGATCATCCCCATCACCGATGAGGGATGCCAGTTGGATGAGAAGAACAAGTTGGTGTGGGATTCCGAGGGAGCCAGACCTCCCATCTGGGACGAGAAGATTTACTACTAAGCTGCATGCTTATTCAACACTTGTAAACCACTTTTGATACCCGAGGGAGTTTGAGCTCTCATTAATCACTGATCCGGTTTGGATCGCCTCTTCTATGTAGTTGTGTAATGAGATTGATGAAACCCTTGCTCAAGATGAAATGTTTGTGATTGCTGCCGAGACCCTCAAGTGTAGTTGATTTGTTGTTGATTGCTTCGCAGTACTGTGGCCGGTGGCGCTCTGGATGGCTTGGATAGTCAATTAAAATTTCCCAAGCACTACACGATTTTGGCTCGCCTCATCAATACTCCGTAGCTAGGCACACGAATAATCCCACGGCGTGATCCAGGTCAGAGGCGGAAACCGAAGGTTGTTTATTTGTGTGGCGACAACAATGAGAATGGCGCAAAGAAATACTGGAATCTCGCACCAGAGCTTGAAGCAGCGTGTTGGTGCTGAACACGACCCGTAACCTCAGGACCACTAGCAACTGAAATCAGGTTGGCGGCTGAGAAGGAAGACCACACTGAGTATTGGTCACATTCTGAATCGTCTTCTGTGCCTTTTTTTTTTCCCTCTCTCTCGGCGCATTCCGACTTCGTCCTTCTCATCGCCAACCTCACCACATCGACTGTGCCAGCAACAAGTCAACTGGCTGCCCCATCCTCCTTCTCGCCGCGACGAGCTGTTTCTATTTTGTATGTTTTGCTCTACTTGCACAGTCTCAAAAGAATTCCTACAGGAAAAAAAGGGCTTTGCGGGGCTTTCTCTTCTTCTCATCGACCGGCATCTCGACTTTCTCCGTCGGCAGGGTCTTCGCAACCTCGTTGGCAACTGTCTATTGAGGTCGCTCGGATGGCAGTCGCAATCGCGGATCCTGGCAAAAGCCCAGGCCAGGAAGGAACTCTCGCCGCTATGGCCACCCCACCCCGCCCTCCACCTTCCTCTTTGTCCCACCCCTCTTCTCACGGACGCGGAACCGCGCTTTCGCGCCCCCAGCCGCTGCCATTGTACGAGCAAACGACTCCAACCAAAGCGTCAATCGCTGGTCTATCCCACAACATCACACGCACGCAGCAGTCGCCGTCGGCGAAATCGCGACTTTCTAGTCTCGCCGCGCTCATCAACCGAAACGAAAAGGATAGCCGACAAAAACCTGCGATGGCCGAGGCCCTTCTAGGCCTGGCGCCCTCGTCTTACGGCGACGCGCTGAGCGACAAGTTCTCGATCGCGAAACCCGAAGACCTCCCCGCACAGCTTCAACAAGACCTCGAGACGAAGAGAACACCCACGCGATGCGAGCACGTCTCCGTGACATTGGACGTCCCCTCGACTGTCGAGTTCGCGATCCGCGAGAGCGATGGCGACGCCCAGGAAAACATCGACCCGGCCCTGAGCGGCTTCCGCTCCCAGACTGTCGAAGGTCAGCAGGTCAAGGTTGTGCGCGCGTACGATGCCATTATCCAGCAGCCGCACGACAATCCAGCGACGCAGCGAGCAGTGGCCAAGCATATCGTCGCCTTGCTGTCGACGGTGGACCAGAGTAACTGGGTGGTCAGAGAGGTCTCGCGAGGTCCATATGGGTGGACATTCACGTACATGTGCAAGGATTCGATGGCCATGTGGAATCGCCAAAACGGAAAGACCGCATCCAAGTCGCTCATAGGAGAGTACAGCCAACAGGAACTCGATCCTGTTATCTCAGGTACGGTCTTTCCCTAATGAATTAGGTTTCTATGCTAACTTGTACAGGCCGCCCAGCTTTCGACTGCCGAGGCACACTGACCATCGCGTTTTCGAAGAACTCGCGAACGATCAACGTCAAGTACGAGCATTCGCCGCTGCACAAGACCGTTGGGGAGATGATTGAACATTTCCGACCACTACCCCCGGCACCGCCTCCTGTACCTTTGATCCCCGCAGGAGACAAGAAGAAGACCCCCAGAAAACGGAAGGTCGAGTACAACGAAGATGGAACACCCAAGGAGCCAAAGAGAAAGCGGAAGTCGGCAGCCGTCAACGAGGATGGAACTCCTGCGCAGCCCAAGAAGAAGAGGAAGAAGAAGTCAGACGCAAACGCCGCCGAGGCGTCAGCGGACGGCGCGGGTGCAGCGGATTCCACGGTTATGACCAAGGCAGACGCTGCAGTGCAAAGCAACCTCCACTCCCAGGCAAATCTCAACGTGCCACCGGCTGAAGCGGCTAGGCGCCGTGAGGTGGCCATCAGAATGTTGAGTGACAACGGAGTGGACCCAGAGACTCTGTCCACGGAGCAATTTAGCATCTTCGCCAACCAGTCTCCAGACCTCCAGAAGGAATCTCTTTCTATGCTCGTCAAGTACGGCGCAGAGAGGCTGCGGATTGTGCACCCGAATGACGCCGCTGCGTCTTCGTCAACGAGCGCATCATCAACCCCGCCGCAGCCAGCAGTTCTCGAGGAACCCGCAGCCTCTTCAGAGTCCGAAACCCCGACCAAGGCGAAGAAGAAGGCGTCACGGAAATCGAAGACAACCACGGAATTGGAAGAGGAGTTGGTCCCAGCCCCTGAAGGCACCCCAATGAAGATGATCTCCAGAGGCTCTTGCATTGGATGCAGAATCGGCAAGCTTAAGGTGAGTACCGTCGCCAGAGACACCCTTCACCAAACTAACAAGATGCAGTGTGATCGAACAAAGCCTACTTGCGATGTGTGCGAAGAGGAAGGGCGTGACTGCCAGTATCCGCTGGTCAAGAGTGCTGCCACGAAGAAGAAAACTACACTCACGGCCGTTCAAGTTGTTAGTGACGACGAGGACGACGCGGAGGCTGACGCAGAGCCCGAGCCAGAGCCTGTTCCAGAACCACAAGAAGAGCCAGAGCCTGATGACATCGAGACTATCGACTACACATCAAACATGCCCGTCGCTAATATGTTGACTCCCGCAGCCGACACGTCAACCCAGGACTACTTCAATTCGGGACCGAGCGATCTCACGTATGGCCAAGGCTCTTCAAACGACATGGGCCTGTCTCATGCCGTCAACACTTATCCGGAGCCATCAGCCGCGGTCTCTTTTACGGATCAGCACGCAGTCAGTTCGTCTTATACGCAACCTGCGCTGACACAAACTGCGAACTACACTCAGCCGACTATGGACACCACATCATATACCCAGCCAGCCGTCGCTGAGACCGTGAGTTACACGCAACCCGCGGCTAAGAGCCCAAAGGCTTCACGTACTTCTACAGCCACAAGGCGGAGTCTGCCGTCCGGAGCTAGAACTTCTACGACGGAGAGTGCTGTCCCGCTTCCCAGCTACGCTCAGAACTGGGCGACATCGCCGCCAAAGGCGCCAGCAAATACTGTGTCTCCAACGATGACTACCAAGCAACAGCCCCGCTCAAGCTCAAGGAGGTCTACACAGACCCCAGTTCAAGCCGCTGCTCAGCAGTCCAGCTTCAATACTACACAGCAGACGGCGGCTCATGCTGCTATTCAGCAGCAGCAACAACAGCACCGCCCATCTCCAACTCCGCAAGTCGCGCAGTCTGTCACACCTGCTCAAGTGTCTCCTTTCCAGGCACCTGTCCAGACAGCTCGAGCTAAGAGCCGAGCGGGACATAGAGCGTCAACGCGGACTCCCGTTAACACCGACCCGCGACCAACTCCGTCTCATCACACGGTGCAGCAGTCCACCACTGTCGACACTCAGCCTATGGGCAACGTGTCTGGCTACAGCAATTACAACACCAAATACTCGGCTACGAGCAATAACAATGCAGCCTCTGACACGAGGCTCGCATACGAGCCTTACACGGCACAAACAACGTCCGCGACCACATCCACCTACCCTTCGTACGACAACACGTACGATCGAAGCAGCACAGCCCAAAACACGAATATTGCGTATACGCCCACCAACAATTCTCGTTCTAGCCAGTACCAGACCCGCAGCTCCCAGTCTTACAACAACACAACTCCGGCTGCCTCCTCTTATTCGCAGACACCAACCACGACCCAGCAACAAACCGCGTCCTTGCAGTCGTTTAACATGCGTGCTTCAGCAACTGGTACTCACACTCGGTCGGCGTCAACTAAGTACCAACAGCAGCAGCAGCAGCAATCACAACAGCAACAGCCGCAGCAGACGCAATCCTACGGCTCTTACTCGTCGCAGACGCAACAACAGTCGGCTCAGCCGGACCAGCACAGTTGGTACGGCTTTGGCTCAAGCACGACGTCATCCACGCCGGCCAATGCAGCAGGAGGATACGGCACTAGAAGCAGCACGTCCAACAGCTACGGAAGCGGGACTGCTAATGCCAGTCAGGCATACCAGCAGCAGCAGCATTACGGAGGGCTCAACATGTCGGGCCACAATTACACGGGAACCGACAACGAGATGTACGAGTTGCTTAAGCTGCACAACTCTGGTCGTTAGTGGCTTCCCGAGGATGGCGTTTGACGACTTATTACCCAGCAATGATTTCTGGTGCGCACTTACAACCTAAATACCCCCATTGTCAGTTTTCGTGGCGGACTATATCTTGCTTTTGCATGGGATTACCAGGGGTTCAGGGAGGTGGTTGTGGTTCATGGGCAAGATTTCAGGTCTGAAGGGATGGCTAGAGGCGGCAATATTAGCGTGCTTCGTGGAACGCTTGCCTTGCCAGTTTCTATTCTTCATGATTGCTCTAGGTAGCAGATAGCATTTCGCAGACAGCGGGCCTATTCTACACGAATGAATGAATGCCTCTTTGCCCAATACTTGTGCTCCTTTCTCATGCTGATAATCTTTGGTGACGACTTTCCTGCACCCTGATCATATGTTAACAACCTGAAGATGAGGAAAGGTATCAAAAGACGTCGTTTACGCATTCATCACTGAACAGATAACTTTCAAGTCATCAGATGCCTTAGATTCTCATTCGGTTGCGAGGTCTAATGTCTGCATGCAACCCACCTCCCCTTCTCACCCCTGTAATGCTGGTGCTCTCAGCCGCACAACTTCCAGGTTCGTAGCGACGTATCTAGAACCTCTTGATTACTAGTGCTCTGATCTAGACCAAGGTGGGAGAGGCTCGGTATCGTCGTCCAAGCGACTGGCCTATGTTGACATGCCAGTCTTGAGATTCACGAAATGTGTCCGGCACGCTCTGGCTGGATGGAAGAATGACATGAGGTGGACTCTGGTTGGGTAGATGAACGGTCTAAGGTGTACGTCCCTGGGCCTCATCCTCCTCCTCCACTACTTCCGCTAGAGGACCGCCTTCTCCGCTTTGCTCGATCCCCTGCTCCAGAATCCTGTCGTTGAGCTCTTGTATCTGAGCATCATGAAGGTCGGCCAGAGTCTCTCCGGTCGCGGCGAGCCGCGCCTATTGCGGTCTCTGCCGCGACGAGAATTTTGCGGGCATTGGCTTGCTCATTGGGCGAGAGATCGGGCTCCTGAAGCACCTCGTTGTAGGGACGGACTGCCTGCATGGTACACATCAGCTCGATAAACTGAGCTAGGATGAGATTCCATCAACAATTATTTAGTCAAGACCTCTATATTCTCATGATTGCCATAGTTACATGTATCCGACAACAACAGCTGTTTGGACTTGGCGTATCAAACGGGGATCGTTCCCGTTTGGGCCTCCGGAACCAATGCCTCCAAGGCCTCTAAAGTTGTAGGATTTGAGAGACGAGCCCCTCCTTCTTTGGTGGCGAGGGCAGTTGCAGTTGTGAAGTAATAATACGACTTTGCAAGTTGCCCGAGTCATGAATAGAGTTGCGGGAGGCAGGGAAGCGTGGATCATGAGGTGATGTGATTGATTGCGAAGTTGCCAAGGTAAGTTAGTGCGAAAGTCTTTAATCTAATTCAATTTATCCTTGATGAACGCCTGATCGTACCTTTCATAATGTTGAATGCCGAAGCATCTACGGGCATCTTGGTGGGATAAACCGAGGGTTGTCTTGGACACCGTGATTTACAGGCATCGGAATGGGCATCAGACAGAGTGACTCTCACAAGCCCTTGCATAAGCATTCGGAAGCAAATTAAGTAGCAAAATATGTGCGCTTATGATAAGTATGTACGCGGTTTCCCAATGTGTATGTACAAGAATGTCTAAAAGTCTCGAGGCTCGCCCAAGACACTGAATACGATTCAACCCCCCAACACTTTGTCGGCGTCATTTCCGAAGCTCGGAAACTTCCCAGACAACTCCTCAATCTGCCCATAATGAAGAAGAGGTGCGAAAACCCGTCAGGCGGGTGTTGCGCATGACACTTGGCCAGAGCCAAAGATGCTTAGCCAGAGCAGGTGCCGGCCTTGGAGGGCTCGCAGCCACCGGCGCAGCCATTGTACATCTGGCACTTGGTCTTGGCGTCCGCACAGACGTTCTTGAGGGTGGCGGTGTCCTTGTAGTTGGCGTTGATTCCGGCGAGCTCGCCACCGTTCTTCGCGGTAACACCCTGATGATAGTTAGCAACCTGACGATGAAGAAGGGGATAAATAAACTTGCTTCCATGTAAATATTGCGCTTGCATTGTGTCTTGCACTATTATTTTAAGTTGTCAGCAATCAAAATCGTGTTGTGGTGATGTTGGGTGGTGTTGACATACGTTGCCGCACGAGCGGTACAACTTGCCGTAGTCCTCAACGTAGTAGTTGATGACGTTGACAGTACCGCATCCATTGTGCTGGATAACCTTATCAGAAGCGTGGTAGGCACCACCGCCGATGATCCAGGACTCAGTTCCGGCCTTGTCGTTCTTGATCGAGATGGCATCCTCGCAGACGTCCTCGAACCAGACGAACTCGAGGGTGCAGTGGCCGTTGCAGTGAACACCCTCAGCCTGGTTCTTGCCAATAATGGCGTTCTTCAGGGTACCGCCAGCCTGGATGTAGAAGACGGCGTCCTTGTAGTCTGTTGAGAGGCATATTGTCAGAGAGTCGATATCAGCCTTCAGGACGGGGGGACAACTTACCACCCTCGCTCTGGCCACCGCAGGCACCAGAGCCGCGGTCAAAACGCTGCCACTTTCCGTCGTAGACCTGACCGGCCTTGATCTCAATGTACGACTTGGAGGACACGGTGCCGGTGGCCTTGGGGACACCTCCGGTGTAGCCGTTGCAGGCGAGGGCGGGGACAGCGGCCAACAAAGGCACCAGGCCGAACTTGATAATCTGCATCTTGAAGAAGACTGAGTGTATTTACACACGTGATTTATAAAAGAAGGAATGTAGTAGTTGGTTTAAGGTTGAGGGAGTGAGGATGGTGGGCAGAACGAGTTTCCCGAGAAGGTCGGACCAGACGCCGACTTATATACAAACCTTACAAAGACAGAGATCCCTTGTTGAAGAGGAGGAGGTTGCCGGCTTCACTCTCGACCGATCCCACGATTCAGAGCAGGTGTCTAGGCAGACTAACCAAGACTCATCGTGGCGCTGGGGTCGACGAGCTAATTGGTCCGGGGTGGAGACCGAGGGATGGGGAGGGGGGTCTGCTTCGAGAAGGCAAACTCGGGCTATTGGTGGACATGAAAATTGCGGGCTCGGGAGTTGCCTGTATGGTTTCTTTTGCGCGATGCTAGGTTGGCGATGGAGACTGTCTAAGATTTGCTCCGCGTGCCGGCGTTGGCGTGAAAGTTTGGCACTTGGGATTCCCGCGGTAATGGTATCTCTGGACCGGTCCACACCTGGCATTCAGTAGCAATCAACATCGCAAGCAAGGGCGAACACAGCGCGCATGATGAAACTCTTGGATAACGCCAGAACGGAGAAACATGCGAGTGAGAGGCACGGATGATAACGAGCGAGCCGCCAGGCGAATGCCACCAAAGGCAAAGACGGACGTCGTAATGTACCCTGTCAATATTATTCCTGGGGATGTATAATCGGTAAGGTGACGCTGTGACGGTAAGTCAGAATGCGGTCTCCGGTATGAAGCGGCCCAATCGGAGAACAATACGAGACCTTCATGAAGAGATTAAGCTACGTAGGATTGTCGATGGGAGCCCAGATGCCAGGTTGTCTCAGGCGAGGTTACATACCAAATGCTCACAGCGGGACGCACCCCATGATCCATCCTTCTGGACGCCAGACAGACTGACGGAAAATGTCTGACAATCTGTACCAATGACACATACCGTAGGAGCGGGAATCCGACGCCAGATGGTTGTCAAGACTGAACCGTGGTTGACACCCTCCTCTCCCTGCGGTCTGTTGTGGTGTGGTTTGGCAAGGCGGAGTTGCCAAGACTTTAAAGTGCTCTCCATGTGCGCAATGGGATGGATTGCCGCAGCTAACAACCCGGTCCGCTGCTGGATGTTGATTAACGCCAAGACCCAACTCGCCTCAATTGCACTACCAAAGAAAATTACCAGGAGGGATTGCCCCGCACCAACATGTTGGATTCTTTTCTTCCTTTTCAATGTTTACCATCACTGGTTGTTGAAAGAAGAATCGACCGAGCCAATTGTTTGTCACGGACCTCATCGGAAGCGGTCTATCGGCCCCACCGCGACCGAGACCGACCGCCCTTGCTGTCGGTTGCCTCCTGGCCTTGCCTAACCTTATCCATCACCCCTGTTGTTGCGCCCGATGATCTGTTGCCTTTTTGACGGCTGTCATCTGAACTTCTGAACCAAACTTGTTCCTTTTGCCCCTTTCCTACCAGACTGCACAGTAGTTTGTTGGGTGCCATATCCGATGTGCTGGACTATCGTTCGCCCATGCAAGATGCATCCCACGTGCCCAGCCTTTTGATAAGGTCTTGGCCTTCCTTCTCATCTAAAGCAGCGTTTTGGATCATCTCCCGCCCTCCCGTCCCCGTTTCTGAGGCTATGCTGAATGTCAATCCGGCTTCTCTCCGAACGCACAGGTATCTCGGAGGTAAACCCCCTCATCGTCCCGCTTCGCCTTGTGGCACCTCGTCCACCTTGCCGGATTGTGGTATCCATCACACCTGAAGCCGTTGGAAATCACCGGCATTTCCGCTGCGAGTTTGCACTCTTCGCTGGCAACTCCAGTTTTCGGCATGCTCAAAATATTGCCCGCCCTCAATATTGGCAGCGCTTATTCCCGATGAGGCTTCTACCTCCGCTGGCTGGCCAAAAGGGGTGAGCAAGGCGAGTTTTTCCCTGAAACCCCAGTCACCCAGCACCCTGTCGATACATCCCACGCGCGAGTTCCCAATCCGCCTAACTCCCTGAGACTGACTGCTGGATAATGTAGCAGACGGATCTGCGTGAGGGTGAGAGTGTAAAGAAAATGCCATCCGTCGCATTAAGACCACCCACATATTATGAAGTCATCACATCAAGCTCATTTAAGCTGCCTCTTCAACATTGCCTAGCTTGACTACGAAGCAAGGAGCAACCTGCTTAGACCAACCGACCAAACAACGGAGTCCACTGCATCCACCAGAAAGAAGCGATATGGGATGGAAACACTCATTCTTTGGTTGTCGGAAATTCCCCACGCTTTCACAAATGACACTAGACACTAAAGTGTCAGCTGCAGAGTCAAGTGACAAGTGACGCCGGCAGACAGGGCCCAGAAGCCCGGAAGACAAATGGAAGTGTCTGATGTTGTCACTCTGCATTATCAGCCTCAGCAAACTGCCACGAGATGCGCCCGCACCGTGTCGACCTTCCGTGCCGAGCCAAAGACAACAGCCCACCAAGTGAGAAGCTCATCAAACAACATAACAACAACAGCACCCGTGAGCTTGGCTCACTTTACGGTGCATCCCGTCAATAATCCCACCACTGAAAACTTGAAACAACTCAAAATTCATAAGGGTGATCCTTGAATGCTCCCAGCCCCTAATGTACGCAGGAAACTTGCCTGGGAGGTTCAGAGAAGAAGAAAGTCGCGCTCCTCCTTTGGTTTGCCTCCTCACTGTACCCTGCCGCCAAGCTTTTCACGATACTACCGTCATGGATACCAGCACTACCAGGTCTTGGCAATCCCCAATGCTCTGATTCCACTTGGCGCTCACCGCACCAATGTCTTCGTGGTGCCAATCTCCGCGGTCTCCTGCGGAAAGTCACCTTAGAAGTCCAACAGACAGCTTAAGTCAAAAGAAAAGACTTTACTCGGGAAAAGGTGCCCGATATCCCGCTTCGATGGTAGCATTCAGCAAGTTCACATGACAAGCAGAATTAATACGTATGTACTGGACTTCCTCGATCCCGCCCCCCGGCCCTCCCCTGAAGACTCCCATATCACCATGTTGGACCCAGGCTATCCCTTCCACCGAGATCACCCTCCAGATCTCAACTTAATCGTATATCACAATTGTTTCCATTCACGGCCCCTCTCGCGAGAGGTTCACCATGGCGCCGGAAATCATTTACATGCTTCACTGCTCACAGACAATCGGCCAAGGTGGAAAACCAGGGGGATGAAGAGGTACAGCCCTCCTTGGCTATCTCGTGTTGGGAGACCATCAGCCGTCGGTCATCGTGAATTTTCTAGAGGGCCGGCACTCTGAAGTGCCCGGCGTATCCCCTGAAGCATTTGTATAATTTTGCGACAACAATGCCCTCCTACCTGCTGCCGGAAAATCATAGAACTCGAGGAATATAGTATAATGCCAAGACCGCAGTTGACTATTTCACACTTTGGAGAAAAAATTCTGCCCATCGCTACCAGCAAAAGCCGCGAAGAAGAAGTAGCACGACCCTGCAATTGCGCTCATTCCGCCACTTTCGGGCTTCCATACGGAATACCGACAAGGTCTTGGCCCTACGGGGCTCAACCGGGGGCGACGACTGGCTACCCTTGGCACTCTGTGGATCCTTCCAAACGGCGGGCAATCCGGCCCCATGCTCTGCCATTCCCGCCGCTGGTGACGGTGAGTCCTTTTCACCGAGGCATTATCGATAGGAACCTCACGGGCCAAGACGCGGCCCCCTATCCATCGTGAGTTATGCAGATCTGGGTGCCTCGGGAGCCCCTGCGTGCGGCTACCACCTCTAATGCCAAGCATATCCGAGATGGCCTTTTTCAACGACCCCAGTCTTGGCGCTAACTCAGAGCGGGCAGATAGAAAAGGGGTTGATCTGAATCGCACTTGCACGTGCGAAAACTGTGTTCTTCAGAATACGAAGTCATAACGGGTCGCAATGACTCGGTTTTGAAGTCGTAAAATATTCGGTACCAAGACATCAGCCAGCGTCATGCGTCAACGTCCCACTAGGTAAACGGTGAGCCACTCTGGGAAAACTCAAATGAAGACCTAGATCGCAAGAGGTCGTCTTGATGGAATGATATTTTGATTGAAAACTGCCAAACTGAGGTATGCCTCCGACGAATGATGCCTGGTTGCTCCCGGAGCATCCGACTGGCGGAAGAGACTAGCACGTGGTGTCTATCGAGTAGACGTATGAAGGGCCAGAACAGAACCTGATGATGCTTTGTTCAGGACCGTCAATCACCGATGAGTCTCACAAAAGAGAGAGTTGTCGAATTAATAAAAAAATATTACACTTGCCCTTGTTACTTATCAGGTGACATTCTATCAAACGGTCCATACTTAGTGAATGATCAACTTGAAAATCCCATGGCTGACCAGTTTTTCAAGACCTTCTGTTTTATGTCTTCTGGATACGAATTCTCAAAGTCGACATGTTTGAAATTCCTGGGCTTGATGTATTCTGATCTGATCAGACAGTCCGAAACAAGCTTTCCGCCCCGTCTAGATGTACCAGGAATCTGAGACATATAGGGAGTCAGAGGATGGCACCCAACGTCGTCAAACATATACTCATCGTGGACTGGTCGGCAGCGAGTTGTAAAAGCCCACATGACTTTGTCCCAGTTGTACACGTCAATATCGTCTCCCACTAGTAGAATACGGTTGATGAGCATGCAACTCTTGTTGTGGAAAGCGATGCTGCCGAGTTTCCGACAAAAGTCTTCTGGAGTTGTTTCCATATCTCTCAATTTCTCTGTGTCAACCTGCAAGGCACACCATGTTGCTAGCGTCTCGACGGGAGCGAATGCTTCTTTGATGGGGAGGCCGTGTTCTTGGCATAACAGGAGAAGCTCAGGTGCTGCTAATTGAGCTGTGGTATGCTGTACAGAAACGAGGTGTTGTTAGACTTTTCCTCACTTATTTTCCATGTCGAGCAAAGGGTGCACTCACAGACTCGTCCACAATGTTTCCCGGGCAGGATATGGGAAGTATTGGGTTATCTCTGTAAGTGATTGCCTCAACTCGGAACAAGGGCCCCATCTTCTGCTCATTATCAAAAACCAAGGCTAGGTAGTCCCCGAACGGACCTTCCGGACCTTTCTTTGTAAACGACATGGTGCCCTCGAGGACGACTTCGCTGTTCACGGGGACTAGCAAGTCACTCAGCTCGCACTTGACCATATCGAGGGGCTTTCCAGTCACGGCTCCAATGTATTCACTCTCAGATACACCCTCTGGAACGGGCATTGACGCAACAATGCTGGCGATGGGAGGAACACCCAAGGCAAGCGCCCAGGGCATCTCGTTGCTCCCATTCTCGATCCATTTGTCGCGGATGATGGAGTTGTGCTGTCCACTGCCGACAAGACAAACCAGATGCTTCTGATCGTGCACCATGCCGCGGAAGATTGACCAGTTCGTCCAAGATTTGTCCGGCGTTTGGAGAACATGGATTCCGTAAGTCTGCAAATACTTGCCGCCGTCACCCTCGTGAAGGTACGGCGCCGGCAAATCTTCCAGGTTGATCTCATCGCCAAACATCTTGTTCTGCTTGCATGGACCAGTCTGGAGGACCTTTGGCGGCAACGGAGCCGCCTTCTTCCAAGACATGAATCGGTCTGATATTTCTTTCCAGCTCGACTTGGGTGGTAGACCCAGGTTTCTAGCAACACGTCCGAATCTCTCGACTTCATCTTGTCGTAGACTAGCAGCATTTCCAAACATGCGCCACAATCCATTGCGGGTGCCCTTGACGTTGTTGAACAATGGCGCTTTATCGTTGACCTCACTGACTCTACGTACGATGGCGCCCACCTCTAAGTGCGGGTCAACCTCGTCATTGATCTCGGCAAGGTCGTTATCGTAGCGAAGAATGTCGAGAAACTTTCTGAAGTCCAATTGAGCTTCGATGGCGTCAGGCTCTTGACACCGTTTGTCGGCTGATGAGTGCGAGTAGTTGCACTTGAAGTGTTCAGCTGCTGCGAAGGGCCGCTGGTAGACTTTTCTAAGCCTACCGGCGGCCGTTGAAGAACGATATAGGGTTGTTCTAGAGATCATGATTCTTGCGGTTAGGAGAAAGAAGAATCCGAGACAAAGACTTCGAATTGGTCCGGGGGCCAGTTCCTTTGGTGTCATGTATGGGCTGGTGGTTTGGAGGGCTGTTGCACAATGATCATTCCTGTGTCATCAGAAAGCCTCCACTATCAACTATGATAACCATGGCGATTGACGGGCACAAGCTGTTTCATGATCAGCTGTGCGCGTCGACGCGGCAGCTAATGCTAAGTTTTCCGGAGTTCTGGAGTGGCCGAATAGGGAACACGGAACGTTCCTGCAGTGTTCCTAAGCCATTCCGCGGAATAGGAATGGTCGCTACCTCCTCTCATAGCTGTGAGATAGCCTATCGTGCATGTATTTCCGAGCTTCGTGCTACAGGCTCAATCTCATGCTCTAATTGCTTGAATGCTTGAAAGTTGGGGAATGAGGTGGTTGACATGGATACTTAGGTAGGCCAGAGCTGGAGATAGTGACGGTTCGTGCCCGGCGTACAGTGCCACTCAGTTCGTCCATGTTCAACAGTAAAGTTATCGCTCATTTCTGCTTTTCAACCTAGCAGAAACAACGGTCATAATGTCTCAGCGACTTGCCCGGGCATATTTGAGGACATTCAAGCTTTTTAGGTCGTTACAAGTACCCAAGTTGCCTACACCACCCCAAAGATCTTCACGATACTTTCTCTCAACAGCTCGTCGCCAGCTAAAAATCAACCAAGGAGAGAAGAGGAAAGACATCCGTTGTTTATCGTATTCTGCGCGCCTAACCCACCGCAACAATGGCTCCATGTCCCAACTCACACCGGCCAACGAAGACCACATTCGATGCGTACAACCGCGACCGAAGCGACTGGTCGTTGGTATCACCGGCGCCACTGGCACGCCATTTGCAATCCGCCTGCTTCAAATACTGCGTGAGATTGGTGTCGAGACACACTTAATCATGAGCAAGTGGGCGCTCGCGACATTGAAATACGAGACGCCCCTCAGCGAGAACCAGATTCGCGGTCTAGCGCATACCAACTACACTGCGCGGGACATGTCGGCACCGATTGCGTCTGGATCGTTTCAACATGATGGCATGATCATCGTGCCATGCAGCATGAAGACACTGGCAGCTGTACGAGCTGGGTTTGGAGACGACCTGATATCCCGCGCCGCGGATGTTACACTCAAAGAAGGAAGGCGGCTGACGCTTGTTGTGCGAGAAACGCCACTGAACGATATCCATCTCGACAACATGTTGTTTCTTCGACGAGCCGGGGCTGTAATTTTCCCACCCGTGCCTGCGTTTTACACGCGACCGAAGACCTTGGAGGATATCATTGACCAGAGTGTCGGTCGGATGCTAGACTCACTAGGCTTCCACATCGATAGTTTTGAAAGATGGGATGGATTTCGTCAAGACTAGAGACGTTGCTGGGACAAAGTATTAGAAGCCGGACAATTCATTCCTCGTACAAAAGTTCTCCCTCCGAGAAGAATGTCTGACTGTCCACAAGCGGCCAATCGCAGAAAATTGATCCAGTCTCTCCAAATACCGCCGCTGGACTAGCAATAGTTCCATCAAAGCCGGTGTTAGCTGCATCCGCTGAACCGGGAAGAAACGGCAAATCTTGCATGAAGTCGTTTGAGAATGGTGGATAAAGGCTGCTTGCGTCGTTAACTTCGATGTTGATGTCATTGTTCGCCAGTCCGCCTTCTGCTACTCTCGGCTCTGTCACCGAACTCGCCAAGCAAAATGGGTCTTGCAGGCTCTGCCCAGACTGCTTGACGACCGTGGTCTGCACGCTGCCGAGATTTGCTGCCCAGGATGAGCGGTTAACATTTGCGCCTCGTTTTGGTACTCGCATAGGGCGCTCTTCGTCATCGCAAATGATTTTGAGCTGCATCAAAGGTTCACGCATGAGTAATAATCTCTTCCATAGCTTGCGAGATGCTCGTGATGCGCCGTTGTATGCCTTTGCCAACTTGAGAGCCTTCCTGAAACTCTTACTCACGGTATCAGAGAAGCTCTCGGGTAAGTCAGGGGCTAGAGTGCTATGATTCTGAGCGACGTGGGCAATCACGAGGGACATGAGAGCACATGCGCTAACCAGCAGGTGAACGTAAAAAGGCTGTTGTTTTCGGTAGACATCCGTGGCCTTGTCCAGCTTCGACAAGATGCTGATCGACTCGGCTGAAAGCCTTAAGGCGGACTCGATGTTCTTTCTGCTGCCAGGTGTAGGCTTGTTGGTGAAAAAAAAGGGGCGGAGTAGCATGCTGTGGGCCGCATTGGCTCTTAGGTTGAGAAGGACTGCCCAAGATGGTATGCGGCGGATTGGGGTCATGACGAATACCTCGTGCTGTCTGAGATCAAAGTTTCCCACAGAATTCTTTCTCCACTGCTCAATCTGGAAATTTAGAATGTCGAAAGTCTCATCTTCATCGTATGGCTGACCGGTTGCGGCACTGCGAGCAACTGGTGACGTGAACTTGTCGCTGAGTGCCATGAATGCTACCATTGCTCGTAGATATGGAGATTCAACGGACGACTTCATAGCTTGGTGAAAGTGCGACTCTTGAAAATGGGTTGGCAACCCTGTAGCCGCGCTCCACTGCCTGTCTAAGACGATCGTTGTGCATATGACAGCAATAACCTGTACTCGCTCGCGTTCAGATCCTAGGATGTGCTCAGGAACATCGCGACTATGAAGTCCAAGCTCAAGGAGTATGTTGCCTGCTGTTCCACACATTCTCCACGCTGTGCGTGCATCGTCTCGGAAAAATTGATATGTTCCCTGTTGACAGGACATGTCAGCTAAAGCGCCTTACCAAGGTTAAGTCAAATAGAAGGGGCCCCTGGCTCACCACTAGAATCGCAATCACTGCGTTGTTCACATGAGGTACAGAGGACATTAGTCGTGTTTCAATGTTTTGACGACAATAGGAGTAGATCTCCCCAGACACGTCAACACTTGGATGTTGAGTTGGCTCAGCACAAAGCGCGATGGAGAGTACGAGGTTGATGATTAGGACCGACGATTCGTCGATAACTTCGCTGAAACCTGAGTTCGTGAAAAGAGCGGTTGCGTACGTATGAGCATTGAGTTGGTAGAGCCTGTCGAGCTGGCTGACGAGATTCTGGATGTCTAGGATGGGATGGAAGTCGCCGAAAACCTCTTGATAGATAGAAAGTAGCTGCGTAGCTCGGCGCTTTGTGAGATGTCGTGTAAACCCAATCAGCCTCTGGAGAGAGCGGCCAGAATCTTGACCAGAAGGACCATCATGTAAATAATATCCCGAGCCATTCTCCGACTCTCCATCGCCTGACTGAGAGTCCTCTATACTAGGGAGACATGGTCGGCTAGACTGATGGCTGAAGCTACCTTGCTTCATGCGTATCTGGGCCACATTCAAACTATAGTCTGGCGATGTTGGCCCGCAGTAATGCCTGCGACTGATCGTTTGATGTGCGAGACGCTGCCTTGGGGAAGACTCCCCTTCTGAGGCTTGCATGTCTGAGCCATGGCTCGGAGATTTCGCTTTGTCGATCTGATGGGGTTGGTCTAAAATTGTGTTGAAGCTCTGGGTAGGGGTGTTGTGCTTCTCGACCGACTCCACGCGCGATGACAGGTTGCCAACCTGTTCTTGAAGCTTGCTAACGAGCTCGCCAAGAGAAGTGAGCATGCTGTAGGACTAAATCAGCATAACACGTACGACAAGCTGCGAATGCATTTCAACTTCATTCACCTTGTCTTGGAGAAAGATCCATACTCCTGTTGTTGCCTGTCAAACGCATCTGATGGCTGTGGCCGCCTACCTAGCCCGGCAGCTGACGAGCTGCTTGGTGCGTTCGACTCTCTTGAAGCTATTGAAGGTTCAGGAGTTACCAAACTTCGCCGTCTCGCTGGCACATTAACTTCCACATCCGAGTACGATAAGCCATCGCATTCGAGGGAACGAGAGATGCAATATGAGCAAGGAATATCTCCAGAGCATCGACCCTTTCGCCGCCTGCAGGCATCGCAAGCCCGAGTCGCATATGGTGCTCTCTTCTTCATCGGTTCAGGCTTATTTTGAGGGCCGCGACGCTTGTTGCCGGCTGCATGACTGTCTGCGTTGGTGGAGCGAATGTCGTACATGATAGTCAACATATGCCGCCGAGTGTTCGGATTGCAGCACCAGACGCGCCTGTTGCGCAGAAAGCCCAAACACTACTTATTCATTGAATCGAAGTAGAACTATTGTGGAGAATGGGAATATTTGAAGATAACAGACAGCATGGAGTGGGTGTCGAGCTTTGCGGGGGTGGCGCAACCAGCACTACGGGGTGGATAACATCCATGTTGGAGACTTGAAGTCGGCCCAAGAGTCAAGCGAATGCTACAAAGAGCAGCTAAGGGTGTGATACAGCTGAGACATACTTTCCATCACCTCCAAGAAGGTACAAGTGCCGCTTTTTGGGAATTGACACCGTTACACGCATATTCGTTTACTAAGTTCACAACCATGATGTCTTCTGCGTTGACCAGTAAACTTGATTTCTGTACCTCATCTGCCTTGCATTCGACACCCGTAATGCTGCGAGATGGCGACCATTGAAATATCCCGGATCACTGTTATCTGGAACCCAGACTTGCAGTCTGCAGATGGGGCTAGCCGATGCACTAGATGACGGGGTATCTGATGCAACAGGTAGAGCGCAGCAAGGCCTGGACGCTATTCACCTCTCGACGACGTACTTATGTGATTCATTGCGCCTAAGTATTCTTAACACCGATGACAATTCTCCATTTTTATACCTAATTGGTCTGAAAAGGTGCTTTGATCGCGACCACCCACTTTTAGACTGGTGCAGCACATGGCCAAAGGGGTCCCGCAATGATGCGGCACACTTGATCAGTGAGGACACTTGCATATGAGCTAACGGCTTGGTGTTCGACTAATCTTATCAGTGATATTGAAAACCGGAATCGGAAACGGAACGTTCCTACGGTCCCCTGCTCTTCATTCGCAGGCCAATCAGTAATGGACATGCAGAGTACTGACCAGTCGTGTTTATCAGTGGAACGGACTGTGCCGCTTCCTTCCTCTTCGTCGTTGGTAACCTCGGTATGATGTGTTTGTGTGATGCTCAGCCACCGATGGGCCCATATGGTGAACAAACAAACAAAGACCATGGATGCGGAAGTGTTTTTCCAGTTGAGATTTCGAGCGTGCTTTGCTGAGGTTTTAGCAAATGGGTCCATGTCCGTACCCCGCTTCCCGGGAGCGCTCCGGATCGGGGCCCCGAAATCGGCCGATAGTCCGGACGATGGCTGTAATATTACTAACAAATGTGGTACTGATAGAGACCGGGCGCATTCTGGTATGTCTTGAGTCTGTTGCAACGTTCAAATACATAATTTGATCTACCAGACTGAAAAGCTCCTGCCAGTGAGCGGTGTTCTCCTTGGCGAAAGTAAATCTACAACCCTGAAAGTCTCCCTACAAGTAAAGGCTCAAGGCTAGTTATACCTGAAAATTACTACCAGGATCCGTTCAAGCGGACTTCCAAAATAGCTGACATACCACTCTTCACAGCTTCAACTGCCGCGGGAATCATCTCTCCCAAGTCTTGAACACTGCTCGCCACCCCAGCCCAAGCTTGGCCGCCTGATGCTGCCTTCGCAATACCAGAGTAGTCTGGCGTCGGTGAGAACGAGATGTTCAAGTCCTCGTTCGATGAAGCAGCTCCGTAGCCAGAAGGATGCACCAGCTGGAGCGAGTTGCGAGGCGCGTTCCAACCTGCAGTATATTTATCAGTAATTTAGTTCATGTCCCATCACGAATGGCCTCGTCACCGTCTCTAGTGACCAAAATCAAAAGGTGTCAAGAGTCTTGAAGCTAGACGATGAATGAAGTTGTGATAACTTACCTTTATTGCTCAACACGATCGTCAACGTGGGGAGATTGTACCTGCGGGCCACCCAATAAACTGTTCCTGGGCAGCCAAACATATACGTGCCATCTCCAACAATTTCGCACACGAAATTCGTCTCTCCACGCTCCTTTCCAATGAAATCAAGAGCCAGTTTTACGCCGAGAGTCGCTCCACCAGACCAACCCAGTCCGCCACCGCCACAATTGATGAGATGGCCGGGTCTATCGACTCTGAGCTGATCGTAAATCTTCGGAGCGTTCGTAACGGCCTCGACGCACCATACGGTCTCCTCAGGACAAATTTTGCGCAGTTGGGAGACGAGATATGACGTTGTGGGATACTGCGATTCGTCTTCCGGTGGTTCTGCCAGAGCGTCAAGTTGCCTCATTCGAATGTTGTGGGCCTCCTCGAGCTCAGACCGTCGATCCTCATGTGAGGGAAGGTGCGAAAGCTGAGAGTAAGTTAAGTCTTGAGCTACGTAGTGGTTCAATTGTCGTAGTGCTGTTTCAGAGTCTGCCTGGTAGCGCCGAAATGCTGGGATGTAGTGCAACGGCATGTTTTGCTTCAAGGGATCAACGTCGATGTGGATGACTTTGGCATCGTCTCGAACTTTGCATTGGGTCGGAATCCAAGGCACGTCGCAATCAACGACAAGTATAGCATCAGCTTCCTCAATGCTTGTGTCGCGACCTATGCGAACACCAAGCGAGGCCCGATGAGAGTAAGGGAAGCAAACATCGCTCCCCAAGGCGTCGAGAACGCGTATTCCTGGGATGCTTTCGGCCAGGCAGGTTAGTTCTCTCACTGTCGCGTGATTACGTCCCGTATACCCCACAATGATCAAAGGCCTTTTAGCCTGAACCAACGTCGATATGATCAAATCCAAAGCTTCCGTGGGTAAGGCTGTCGGGGCTATCGGCTCCCAAGCCGTCTGGTTGAGGCTGTAAGGAGCGATTTCTTCCTCCATGACTTCCCGAGCGCCTACTACGTAGACAGGTCCCTTCGGGTTGCTAGTTGCAAACTGCAGTGCTCGATTGAGAACTTGCTTAATGTTCCTGCCGGTTTTGAATTCACCCGTATACCGACAGTACTGTGAGACGATTTGTCGTTGATCGGGAGCATCTTGGAGCCAATGGATATACTCGGTCCGGGATCCGCGTAGCTCTCCTTCAAGTGTGAACGGAGATAGGCCTGCGAAAACGAAGACAGGGCAACGTGCAACCGACGCATTATGAACCGCACACCCAAGCATCTGAGTTCCCACGTCTACGTGAACCAGAACGCATTGCGGCTTTCCAGTCACACGAGCGAACCCATCAGCCATTGACATCGCAACCATCTGAGAAGTACGTTAGCAGGATTGTGGAATGAGTCACTACGTTTATAATGAAGAACGTTGGTATAGATACCTCACCTCATGAGGACAAGTGATGACTGTGGGGAACTTAACCCCCTTCAGTTGTGCGCCATGTGCCAAAGCCTCCATGATAGCTGGGTGATCTGAGCCGAGGTTGACGAATACATGGGAAACGCCTGCCTAAGAGGAATCAGCCACTTTCTTTCAAGTTTTCTCCGCCTAAGTCGAGACCAAGATTTTCCGATCTCATCGTTGATCTACACTCTCCGTTGACAAATCAAGACCACCTTACCTCGTAGAGGCCCTCGAAGAAGGCGAACGAAGCAGAGTACGTTTCTCTAGAGAATCCATCAGCATATATTGAAGAAGAGACTTTATTGACCAGATCATTGCTCAAGTAGATTCGCTTTTCGATGCGGGAGCTTTGATGCTTCTCGTTATGCTAGCCAGCCAGCCTATCTCTCTGGTTTCAGGTGCACTCACATATCAGCCGTCATTTTTTGACAAGTGTGGGCAATGTTCAGTTGCTAACTATCGGCGCTGAAAGCTTTCACTGTTAATTGAAGTTGAGAAACACCTGAGATGTAAGCTGTTGCTACGTGTGGTTTTAGCCTATAGTAAGGCCCCTTCATTTAGAGGTCAGCAAAATTGCGTCTTACTTAGGCTTTAAGCTATCTATAGATATCTATATAAGTATATACCTATATAGTCCATAGGTATAGAGGGGTACCTAAGTAAGTATTAAGTAAGTATAAGTAATAAGTAAAACTTTCTTATTTAAGTATTAAGTATATAAATAAAATAGAAACTATAATTTAAGTTCTAAATAATAGTTTATTTTATAAATATAATATATTAAGAGAAGTTTAGAGAGGAATTAAAATCTAAATTAAAATATTAAAACTATATAAGAAATAAATTATATTATTATAGTATATTACTAATTTCTAATAATAAGAAATTACTATAATTTATTTCCTCTATAGTTTTTTAGTTACTTAATTACTTTTTTATTCTCTAATTATTTCTCTAATTTAATAATAATAAAAAGTTTTTAAAAATTTATAAACTTTATTATAATACTTATAAATTAAATAATAATATCTAAGAAACTTAATTTAGTTTATTTATAAAGTTTAAGATTTAATTAAATAGTTTAATAAGTTTTATATCTAAAAACTTTAATTTTATTAAGTTTTAAATATTATTATTATTATTTAAAATATTAATAATATCTTAAGTATACTTAATAATAAGTTTATAAATAATAAAGTAGGAATCCTTAATATTAAAAACTTTATATTAAAATATTTAATAAATTAATATATTTTAGTTTTTATTTAGTTTATAGAGTATAAAGTTTTTTAAAATAAAAAGCTCTAAATAAGAGAATAAGAGTTAGTTTTAATATTTATTATAAATTATAAGAAAGAGTTAATAGAAAATTATTTTAGGTTTTATATTAAAGTATATATAATAATAGATATATTAACTAAAACTAAATATTTATTTAAAGGGGATAAAATTTAAAATAATATAAAGATAATTATAAGCTATATTATAAAAACTATAATATTTTATCTTTTATTCTAATATTTTCTAAAAGTTTTAAATTAATTATTTAGTAGAATAGCTTTATATAGATTTAGTTATACTTCTAAAAAGAAAAGTAATATAATATTTATACTTCTTTAAGAAATTATAAATAATATTATTTACTTTTTAAAATAAAATATCTATTTACTTCTAAAGAACTATATTAATATAATAATTATAAAAGGATTATTATATTAATTATTATAATAAATTATTATAAATATAATTATTATAATAATATTAGAAGTATAATAATATATTTATTTTTTAAGACTTTAAGATATTAAAACTATTAAATTATAAATAGATCTATAAGCTTTATCTAAATTAGTTTTAGAATTTTATAGAACTTTTTTATAATATTTCTTAGTATAGATTTAAATAAACTTTATTTTAGCTATATTTTTTAATAAATTAAAATAAACTTTATAAATACTATAGAATCTTAAATTATTATTTACTAAATTTAGTATTAATATAAGAGAGAGGAATAAAGAGGATATATAAAGAAATTATTACTACTTTTATAGTAATTAATACTTCTTTAGTTTTATTATTACTATTTATACTACTTCTAAAAAAGTTAATATTTAGAGTGAATTCTTATTATTATTAAACTTCTTAATAATTTCTAAGTATTTTATTAAATAATTATTATAAATTTTTATAAGAGTAATTATATAAGTAATATTAATAGATTAATTTTAACTTAAAATATATATAATAATAAAGAAGTATATAGAGATATTAAGAATAACCTAAATTTAGCACTATTTAGAATTATTTAGTTTAAATAAGTAATTATTAATATAATTTATAAACTAAGCTTAAATTAAAGCTTAAAGTTTAAAGATATAAATTAATATTAATATAGTTAAGTTTTAATATATCTTTATATTAATAATTAGATATTTAAAATACTTTTTAAAATCCTTATCTTTACTATTCTTCTAAAAATCTAAAAACTATATAGATTATATTAAACTAGCTTTAATTTTAAGTATAAAATAGTAAATCTAAAAGAGGATAAGTAATAATAAAAATAGAAAGTAAGAAATAGAGTAGTTTATTTTAGTAATTACTACTATAAGTATTAAAATACTTCTTACTCTAATTTAGTTTTCTAAGTTTAATATCTTATTTAAATATTAATTAGTAAGAGTTTTATTATTTAATTTATTTTTAAGATTATTATTCTATAAAGTAAAAATAGCTTACTATTTTATTAAGGTTTATTATAGTAGTATAATATCCTTAATAACTTATTTATTATTAGTATATAATATATATTATATAAGATTACTTATTATAAATATATAGGTAACTTTAAAGTAGTTATATAGTTCTTAAATTATAAAGTTAATAATATAAATAAGATATTAAATATAAATAACTATTAGTAATACTTTATTAAATATAAACCTATAGAACTTAGATAAGATCTTAAGTTTAAAATTAAAAGTATTATTTATAGAAATATAGTTAAATTTAAGTATATTCTTTATTAAAAGCTTTTAAAGAGTATTAATAATTATATTAGCTATATTCTCTATAATATAGTTTTTTATAATACTAAGTATATTAAGAAGAATATAATAATATTTCTAGTCTTTATTTATAAAATAAACTATAATACTAAGTAATATATACTTCTAACCTAATATTATCTATATATTAATTATTAGAGATATTTTTAAATTAATAATAATCTTATTAAAAACTTTTATCTAAATAGCTAAAGCTTTAGTTTTAAGATTCTTAGCTATTATTATAGAGAATAGTAATATCTATTTTTAGTTTATAAAATTAATAAAAAACTTAAAAGTTAATTTTAAAATAGAGTTAAAAGATATATTATTATTAATAAGATAGTAGAGAAGTACTTTATTTAATTAGGTAGATTTATCTTTTTTTCTAATAAGCTAAATAGTAAGGTATAATTATTATAATAATTATTATAATAATTAATATAAATAATTTAGATAGTTCTTATAGTTTATAAATAAATTATCTCTCTATTATATTATAATCTAGAAAACGCTAAAGTATTATACTATATTTTAATATATATTAGCTTACTATAATAGTTATTTATTAAGTTAGTCTTAAAGCTAGCTATATTAAGATAAATAAAAAGAGTATTATATATATTATAGATAAAATAGAGAATACTATATTAAACTTTTACTTCTTTATAAAAATTAACTTAAGTATTTATTTATTTATAACTTTTACTAAAGATTTTATTTACTTTTTTTAAATATATATTAAGGCTAAATAAAGACTAAAAGCTCTTAATATTATCTTCTACTTTCTATTTATAATACTAAGTTTAGTATTCCTATTTAATAAAAGTAGTATCTATAATAAATAGAATAATTAAACTACTATAAATAAGCTTATATTTAGAGGGGGGGTTTATAGAGAAAAGAGAGGATATATCCTTAAGAGGGTTATCTATAGTATATAAATTTATAATATATTTTATTTATATAGTTAAAGTAGTAAAAAGAAAAAGAAGCTAAATTATAAGGAATTATTATAATAGATTATTATAAATATAAAGTATTATAATATTTAGTAATAAGTCTAAGTAATTATTAATTTATTTATATATATAACTAAACTATAAGTATTTATTATAATAATAGTAAAATATATATTTTCTTAATTCTCTAATAAATCTTAAAAATAATAATACTACTTTAATTATTAGAGAGTATTTTATTAATATTAGCTCTATTAAGTTAGTATTTAAGAAATAATAAGATTTTTAAAACCCCTATATATCTATAAATAAAATTATAATAGTAATCTTTTAGCTTAAATATAATAGAAGAGGTTATTAGTAAACTTAAATTACTACTCCTCTTAATAATAAAAATTATTATAAAAAATAAGAATAATATATTACTATAGCTAATAAAGAGAGATATAAAGAAGAAATTTATAAATTATATTTTAGTTTTATTAAGAAAATAGAAAGTATAGAAAATACTATAAAAAGATATTATTATTAATAAAAAGTAATTATATTAATATTATTTAAGTAATAAGTTTTAAGAAACCTATAAAGAAAAAGTATATTAATAAAAGTAGTATAAATACTTTAAGAAATTAAAAAGTAATAGAAAATAATAGATAATACTATATAGAAGTAACTATTTATAAAGTTTATAAGAGAGATATTATAGTTTATATATTTAGATTTATAATTTTAGTTAGAAGTAATAAAGGTATTATAGATAGTTATTAAATTATATCTTATTACTATATTTAAAAGTATATATTAGTTTCTAGATATAAAAATTTCTATTAATATAGATAGGTATAAATCTCTATATTATTTATATAAAATATATTATACTTTAAAAGAAAGATATAGATTTAGTTAAATAGCTTATTAAATATATAAGTTCTTAAGAGACTTAAATATAGACTTAAGAGTTAAAGGTTTATACTTATTATCTTAATATATATAATTATAATATATAATTATAATAAATAATTTTTATAGATTTCTATATTAAGGATTATAATAAATTATTATAATAGATTATTATAATAGATTATTATAATAGATTATTATAATAGATTATTATAATAAATTATTATAATAGATTATTATAATAGATTATTATATTAGTTATTTATAATAAACTTTAATAGTATATTATTATAAATAAAAGAATCTTAAGTATACTTAAACTCTATTATTTAATTCTAAGAAGCTTAATTCCTTAATACTATAAACTAAATCTATTTTATTATATAATAAAGTTTACTTAGATATCTCTATATCTTCTTACTATAGATCCCTCTCTTCTTTATCTCTATTATTAACCTTATTTATAAACTTAATATCTTTTCTACTTAGAGAGAGGAAATTAAAAGTTATAAA